CTGCGCAACAGATGATCCTCTCTTGGGCTGTGCTGTGTGTCCGTGTTAACGAAGGGCTCTCGTCTCAGACGCAGGCAGTGGTCAGATACCCGTATGCCTACTGATACCTAAATCCATGATCTCACGTAAAGTTTTTTTTTTACCGACGCATGGCCCAGCTCCCAGCCACGCGACATGCGCCAGCTCTCAGTCGCCCGGCATGCCCTAGCTGTCCGCCACACAGCATGCCCTAGCTCTCACCTTTTCCCGCAGAAAAGTATTGGTAAGAATAAGGAGCAAAAATCCTTCTTTCTCGTCCTAAAACGGGTGCTGATTCATTGATTTTTGTAAGCACACGCAGGCACGTAATCAAAGTTTTCCTCGGGGATACCCGAATGTTGAGACTTCTCCAAATTTCGGCGAATTTCAAGCAAATTACTACGAAAGAGTTCGGTATCTAGGGTAGATGTATTGTATGATTAGGGGTCACTGCCTCCTCCTTCCCCCTTGGTGACGTCACTGAGGATGCAGCACGCAGACTGTTTAAATAGAAACGTCGTTGGATCTTTTGGCATGTTGCTTATACCAGTTTTCAGCTTTACGAGACCTCATAATTTCATTGCTTCAACGATTTACATATGCGTCATCATTTGCAGCACTGGTTATGAAGCCTTTACGATAGTTACAACGATTTCTCGTCGAATGCGATGAAGTTTTGCGAAGAATCCTGCATCGATATGTAGAAAATACTGGGCCACAAAAATGATAACAGCCTTTTTCACCCACGAAGACGTGCTTCTTTTTTAGTAACTTGGACAATTGTGTATAACGGCGCGAGGCGGCACTGAATAGAAAACAGAACGGATAAGGACGTTACTTTTAAGCTAAGATTTAACACTAGAAACCAAAAGCTGTTATCGTTGACATTGTACCTTGTTGCATGAGCTCAAAATACAAACTACATCAAACTCCGGCTACAGCACTGGAATTCACATAAACAGCACGGCATCGCACGCGAGCCTGCAACGCGACGGAACCGTCGCCGGCTGCGTCGGCTAGTTGAGTTTCCGTCCGCCAGGTGTCAGCCCGTTCGGGCGTCACCCGCACGTCGAGGTCGAGCCAGGGCGCGGCCTTCCATGACTGCGGCCGGCCGTCGCCTAATGTCTCTTGCAAGGTGACACGCGACGGCGCAGAACCGGCAGAGAGGCCTATCTGCGGACGCCGGGCGGGGTCGATACACCGCTCTGGCCGCCAGCCGGATGCCGGAGGAAGGCCGGAGTTTACGGCACGTGACACGACTTTGTTGGTTGATTCGAGTCGACTGTCACAGCGTTTTGTGCCGGTGGACTGATTATAACCGGCGCGCCGCCGCGCCCCCGACCCTCCCCCCCCCCCTCCCCTCTACATCCTGGGCGCCCGGGGGGAGTTGTGAAGGTCAGTCGCCGTGGTCAAGCTGGCAGGTTCATTACGATTGCGTGCGACGTGAACTGGATTGTTGCGTGAAGCACATAGTGAAACAACGCCGTCTCGGCCTGCGTGCGCTCGATGATAGCGCGCGGGCGTGTAAGGTTACGCTCTAACGGTAGCAGATAAGTGGCTACTTTCTTGTTCATTTAGGTGAGGCAGGAAATGATTGGCTGCGCGCAGCCACGACTCAAGAGTCTGGGAACACGGTGCACTATGTATGCATTTCGTGCCCTGAAGCCCAGGTGGGCGTAACGCTAAGGCACTTCAGCCTGGCGAGAGAGCACATCTTCACCCCAGAGAGGGTACATCTTTACCACTATATGAAGCCCATGCCAGCCTTCCCGTTCTTCGACGGCTTGGACAGGAATGGTGTTCATGCTTGCTGCGGTGGACTTGAGCACATTCTGTCCGTACAGGAGAGGCAAACCCATGAACTCCACTGATATTCTAAAAACGAGCACTAAGCTAGCCGCATGTTGTATTCCCTAACGATCACGGGTCTTCGGCGTATCACGCGATACACTGTTTCGTCGTTCCGATCGGGGGATTATCGTAACACCTAAGTTCGTAGCAACTAGCGTGTCATCACACCTAATGAACGTTATGGGCTTTCCCAGATGCTGTGATCTTCCCAAAAATCTCCACAAAATGACTTTCTCTCTCTTTTTAGAAAACTCGTGGAAAACATTAAGGCAGCCCTTTCATTGAGGGATGAGCGAGCATCTTAAAACAGAGAGGTGTTTCGCGGCGATTTCCGCAGTCCAGCCGCGAGGCAAGATATGTAAACCCCACCCGGAAGTATGTTGTAGCATTTTTGTCATTGGAATGTAGGAATAAGCGACACTGAGAATGTTTAGGCTTTGCGACAGACTAAGCGTTTATTTTAGTGAAGTCTGTACAAAGGCATCTGATTTGCAGTGTAATGTTCGACGTTTTCTGAATGTTTCGCATTTTACATGTTGATTTGTATGCACCAGTCTTTCAAAGTGTGCGGACCGACTCGAGTCTCAAGAAGGGCTTAGATGTCAAACAAACCCACGTCTTTGGCGAGTGGAGATATATCTCAGGCAGCGTGAAGCCTTCTCCAGTTGGATTTCATGACGCTGCATCAAACAACAATTCACTGCACGCCAGAGTTCAAGTGATTGCCAGATTGCACAGGGGCTTAGATATTTTTGTAAGCAACACTGTACTCGTTCCACACTGCACTGCTGTGTGGCTTTGGGGGCATCTTCCGTCGCCCGATGCACAGCCCTCTTCCGGTGAGCTTCTGAACTAGTGTTTTGCTTTTGGCGCTCGCATCGGCAAACACAGCACCCATGTAGGCTCCTGTTTCAGCACCGCAAGGAATAGAGGTGATGTGAAACATGCACAAAAATTTCATTCCTTAAGTTGTTCCGTGCGTGCCGTTTCATTTCATTCCTTTATTTTCGTCTTCATTTCTAGGCAAATGCGGAACATGGGTGCGTGGTTCACTTGAACTGATGTTACAGAGAATAGCGAGCACTAAGGTTTCTTCGCCCCGCCGTTCCCGTACCCAGTGGCGAGGACCATGGGTCATCTTCAAGCTGCTTCGTCTTATCGATGGAACAGGGCACAAACTGTGATTCCAGCAAACGGGCTTTTAGTTACGTCAGGTGCAGAACAATAGCAACCATCACTATTTTGGCATATTTTGTTCAGCTGACGCATTCGTACCGCCATTGCTTGTGAAGTATGCGTTATCCAAAGCATACAAGATGGCAGACGTGCCCCCCCCCCCGCCCCCACCCTCTGCCTCTCCTAGCCCGGAGGAGGTCTTTCGGGCCGGTGTTGTTGCTCCCGTTGTCATATAGGTTGCCGCTTTTCCACTTCATATTTTTTGGCGACCCGTGTGTATGGACGTCAGCTGCAAGCATTGATCATCAGCAGATGCAGCGTTGGCTGTTTTGAAGAGCGCAGAACACCGGAACACCAAGGCTCGAACGTTTGAGCCTGCAGTGCCACCGTTACCAAAACGGAACGCAATGCGGGCTTGCTGAGAATGAGAGCAGCCTAGAGCAGGAGGATGGCTGGCTCTAGGCCTGGCCGCCTCACCCAAAGAGAAGCTCTCGGAGCGCCGCTGGATGTAGCGGACTCCCATATATTGCGGTGGTAAAGGCAAAACTTAACAGACACATTTTAATGCTAGGGGTGAACGACTGACGAGAAGAATAATTGGTGGTGGTGTGTATGGAAGAATAATTGGTGTGTACCCCGCAAGCCATCGTGTTTTATTTAATCATGGTGTAAATATAGTTCCATCAGGGGCGCTGCAGCAGTAGGGGCAAGCACAAAGAAGCAGCCAGCGTCTTGTTGCACTTCAGCTGACATCTCCATTGGGAGGGCAGTGGCCTCAGCCCTGCATCGGTAGCAACATGATCGAGAAGTCAGCGCTCATTTCATGGCAGTCAGTGCTTTCTTTTCGCAGCCACGGCAAGCACCCCGTACACGCTGCATAGGTAAGACGTGCATCCGAGGGACACACTGCATAGGTAAGGTTTGCATCCGCGGAACACACTGGAGCGTGCGTCCCCAGGCGAGCCGACCGCTGTCATGCAACGGCTTTGCTGGCAGTACAGTGCTGCCGAAAACGTGACTCATAACTGTTCGTACTTGTCCACCACAGCGAGTGCTGCTGATATGGTTGCACTTACTATGGAGGCGTGACGTCATACCCGTCGAGATCAGTATTTACGTGTCCAAAATCACGTCATGAAAACTAAAATGGACAACCAGCAGGGCTAACATTCAATTCTAAAATCTAGGAACGCCCATGTTGCTAGCATGCTGCAGTTTTAAATCACCTATCGACACATGTATACACATATCACACACACACACACACACTCATGTATACACATCACGACACACATACCGCCCTTCCATTAGGCCATAACCTCTACCAACGGAAACCAGAAATGATCCTAGACAAGTTTAACAACGAACAATATTTTAGCCTATCTTTCGTATCTCGCCAATAACCCGTTTACGATGCCAGCGATCATTGCTTACAACCACACCACAGAATAGCAATGAGATGTACCGAGCGTGTCATAACTCGCCTGAAGCTGGGACACACAGTGAGACATCTCGTGCCGCACCAATTCATAACAGCATATGGTCTCGCATTGTCACTCTTTCCATATAAGCACAGCACTAGTCCAGGAGCACCAGACAGCACCAGTCCAGGAACACCAGACGGCACCAGTCCAGGAACATCAGACAGCATCAGTCCAGGAACACCAGACGGCATCAGTCCAGGAATACTAGACAGCACCAGTCCAGGAACACCAGACGGCACCAGTCCAGGAGCAACAGCTCGGAACATCGGGTCAACGTGGCGCTCCTTACGTTATCGTACTCTGCTGAAGGCGCTGTCTATCGTGGCCACCCCTCCATGGTCCCGTCCAGTGTGGCACTCCTCCGACGATCTTGTCCAGTGACACTCTACCGAAGATTCTGCCCAGCGTGGCACTCCGCCGAAGATTCTGCCCAGCGTGGCACTCCGCCGAAGATTCTGCCCAGCGTGGCACTCAGCCGAAGATTCGGCCGCAGCGTGGCACTCCGCCGAAGCTTCTGCCCGCGTGGCACTCCGCCGAAAATCCTCTCCAGCGTGGCACTCCGCTGAAGATCCTGACCAGCGTAGCACTCCACAGAAGATCCTGACCAGCGTGGCACTCCGCCGAAGATGTGTCCAGCGTGGCAACACCTCCGAAGATCCTGCCAAATGTGGCACTCCGCCGAAGATTGTGTCCAGCGTGGCACACCTCGAAGCACTCCGCCGAAGGTTGTGTCCAGCGTGGCACTCCACCGAAGATCCTGCCAAATGTGGCACTCCTCATGTCACCGCGCACCTCCCCGTCAGAAGCGCATGCCGCAGGCAGTTGCTGTCCGGCATCGCCACCATGCCGTCACACATGCTGTTCAGCAGGATGTCCTTGTAGTTCTCCAGCGCGTAGTCACCCACGTGGATCTGGTCGTGGCAGAGGAAGCCCCACTCGTTGGGATGGCCAAGTGCGCGGCACATCTCGTGGTACCAGATGGCGACGGGCAGATGGGGAGGACCAGATGTGCACACCAGGGTACCGCCTCCTGCAACGAAGCCGTCAGGTGGGCGGTGGTGGTGGTGGCGATCGTTGTGGTGCTGACGATTGGAGTAATGATCGCTGGAATGATTAATATCATGGTACTTAATATGTCCTACAATGGTAGCCCAGTCCTGCTTTTGGCCCTTTTTGACGTACCTTTAGGCTTTGGCCTGCTGTTATTTCAACAATCACGATTTACCATGATACCACAGTGCTCATATCATGCTGATAACAAGCGTCATGGCCGTTATAGCAATTACCGCGATTATATTGACATTGGTGCTGATGACTAATACCATAATGTCTTATAAGGGTCAAGACGCATATGGTTACATTACTCAGAGTTGGTGATTATAGTGCGTATTTAGCAAAACATGCTAAGCACGGGTACAGCAGCGCACATAACAAGTTAGATCAAACACAAACCCCATGTGGTGCGATTACAACCTCTATCAAAGTTGGGCGCGCAGCCACTAGTTTCACTCAATATAAAACAATATATAACACGATACATAACAACATAGAACTAAGAATAAATAGAACACAATACAAACAAAATAAATAAGCATAATAACTGAACATCCGACACCAAAGGCGCTGCATGCCTTCCAAATTCAGAATAATTTCCTGATGACTCCCAGAACGGACAGCTCCCAGAACAACTCCGTATGACTCACTCCGGTAAACAGTCACATGGCTCACCAGCCAGACCTCCGAATGACTCTCAGAACGGAGACAGTCACATGGCTTATCAGCCAGATCTCAGGATGACTCACAGAAAGGAAACAGCCACCTGGTTCATCAGCCAGACCTGTGGATGACTCACAGAATGGAGACGGCAACCTGGTTCATCAGCCACACGATCTCGGGGTGCATCCGTACGAAGCCTCCGCCAGCGTCTTCCATCATCGGCTCATTCAAGGCCCACACCACCTGCGGCGCAGCACAGGGGCATGTGAGAGGCTGTAGCCGCCTGCTGCGCACCCGTCAAAGGTCATGGCACTGGACCAATCCCGCCGGAGACACGGCGCGGGTGGGCACACCCAGGTGAGCCCGCCTGCACCGCCGCACTCGTGCAGGCGCCGACGGAGGTTTGCCTAGCCAGTAACGTTCTTGCCAGCTTGCCTATTCCCCCACCCTTCACAGAGTGTGACGCGGGGGTGATGGCTCCACACTGGCTGATTCTAAGCTTGGCGCAAAGGTCCTACGAGAAGCAATCGCTGCTTGGAATAAATTTTAAGTATGCGGGCCATGTTGTAGACGTCGCCCTGAGAAATGGGGGTCAATACGGCACCTATATTCTCTGGTGATAGCTGTTCAGCGCGCCGTGCAATCGCGCCCAGTTTTTCAATACCAGGATTCATCGCAAATGTTTTGATTTTGAAAATATGCATTTAGCATTTCTGCCTTCGTAAAAGCCATCTTTTTAGGATCATAATCCAGCTAATCGACGGTCAACGCGAGCGGCGGTCGGCAACTGACGGATCCACAGATCGCGGGCGGTGGCCGCAACCGACGGATCCGCCGATCGCGCTATCGGTCGCGACTATACATTGATGGATTTGAGCATCACCATATGCGCAAAGAAGCAAATAGGCATGTCAATATGCCCACAATTAGACAAGAAACATGCCAATCGAAGTTGTATGCTGTTGAATGGCGTTTTGTAAATATGGGCATGTGGGGATGAAATAGGCTGATATTCAGGGCAACTTGACACTTGACATGGTTTAGTGGGGTTAATCACTGACCTACCAATGTCAACTTAAGCCGCGAGATTTCGCTGAGGCCAATTCTCCGTTTTTCCGGGACCTGTTTTCATTTTAAGCTTGGAAATAACAGAGGGTTGCATTGTCCTTTTTATTCGTTCGCGTTATGAAAAACGGCACTTTGGGGCGAGGGTTAAAATAACATATTCAGTTCGTCAAAGTCTCTCTCCAGTGGGTCACAGTTCACAGTAAGTCAAATGACCGATTCTCCAAACCTCCAATTTTCTCTCCAAGTTTTCTCCAATCGTTTCGGAGCATCCAACCCGTTGCTGCAGGACAAATTGAACAGCGGAAGGGTCCGCATCAATATCTTCTTGTAAATGCTATTCAGTTGAGAGTGCACTGTGCTGAAACGGCGCGCTGTATTACAGACCTACCCTTGAACTGGGTAAAAATAAAAAATGAAAACCCTTCAGCTTTTGCTATTATTTTCCAAAACTTAAGGACATGTCTGAAAACTAGCATGGATCATCGTTTTTACAGAGCTGGTTTCTTGCCATAACTGCATTGAGACCTATATGTACCGTGTTAGTTCAGCAGTGTTTTGGAAGACGCCAAGTAGCTCGCGAAGACATTGGTTGAAAATGACCGAAGCCATTTTGATCATTTGGTAACTGAGCATTTCTCATTTGCCAAGTGAAAAATACCAAAACGCAGTTTCAGACAACATTGAGATGCCATTTCAACACTGCATACATAGGTTATGTATGCATTTATATTATGATGCATACAACGGGTATATATACACTACACTGTTGTAGCAATATGTGGTGTGTAAACTGTATGCGAGGTGTAATGTATACCCAAAGTGTCATGGCCGTAATACACACACACACACACACCACACACACACACCACACACACACACACACACACCACACACACACACAACACACCACACACACACCACACACACACACACACAACACACACACACACACACACACCACATATATATATATATAATATATATATATTATATATACTATATATATATATATAATATATATATATATACTTACAAGCTGCACGGGTGTATATGTGCCCGTTCCCCGCAGTACCGAGTGCCACGAGACCCCGTCCCATTCTGTACCTCTATTGTCAACAGATCTGGCATAAAATTACATTACAAGCTCGTACAAAAGTCGCCGCAAATCCTCAATGAGGCATAAATATCACCGCAATGATTGGGTTACAACTGAGGTGGATGTTAAACTCCAACTGTGCTTTGCTTACTTGATCCCATGTTTGATATGTTCTTTAGGTAACCACCATGCAAAGGCAAACCAATTCTCCCCTCGGAGGTTTTTACCATTCTGGAAATGACTTATCCGCACTTACCCCAGTTTGCAACATGCCTAATATCCTCCATAACGCGTATTTATGCATCTTATCTAGATAAAGCACATCTGCAGGCGTGAGCTTGACCGTCAGCCGTACCGTCACGCCCAGCTGGGCCAGCTGGTCCAGCAGCGGCGCCAGCTGCTCCATCTGACGGCCGAACAGCTGCAGCCCGCGCACCGCGCTGTCGTGATAGAAACGCCACACGGTGTGCATGCCGCCGTTGGCCAGCAGCAGGTCCGGACAGCTGGCCAGCTGGCAGCTGCGCAGTAGCTGGCGCACGCTGTCCATGTACTTGTCGTCCATTTGGTTACGGGACAGGTATGTCTGGAGAGAAGCGAGGCTATAGTCAGTGGTCCACAAGCGATTTGCTTATGGTTTAAGGCAATGGTCAGTGGTTCACAAACGATTCGTTTAAGGTGAGCATGCGGTAGGTGGCGAATTTTCTGCTGAGGCCCAGCGTCATCGCAGAAATATCCTTGGGTTAATGACATTTTCCGCCCTGATTGGCTCTGGAACGGCATCAAGTTAGGGCGTTTTATTTGTAGTTTTAAATTGTGGAATTTTGCAAGTCAAATTGCAACGAGCGCCTCAAAAGCTTTTCCAAAAGGAAGCTGGTAAGAGATGTGGTTCCAATGTCAGTGTGCCGGCATTACAGTCATTTGTCACACTTTCAGAAGTATCGGCAGCGTTGAAGGGAAATTAATAATGAATGTGCCCATGGGTGCTGCAAAAAATGCAACGACAGAAAGATAACTCGCGAGCCTATGTAAAAAATCATCGCATGCGAGCTTTATCACGCGACGCTTAAAGGTCATATGCTCGATCTCTCTTCTTCAGAAGACCGGCAAAGTACTTGAAAAGATCGTTTTGAGATAAGCGTCAGTGTTAAGTATAACTAACTTCAAAAGCCTCGTGTTCACTACTACCAGCAGAGGAACTCCTGCTCAACAAAATTTTCGAGCGATTTGATCTCTACATGAAGTGTTTTGTGCAGTTTTGCTCACAGTGATTTTCGTCTGTTTGCTATGTGAGGAAGCTGGACGCTCCAAAATGATGTGGCTGAAAATGTCACATCAGATATGTTCTCACGTGTGTTGGCAAAGGATCTCGGAGAGAAAAAGTTTAGCATAAGCGTTTCCTATTCACGTGTTTTCAGGCCTATTCTCTACTGCGAAAAATTGTCTATACGCATCCTTTTTCAAGTTAGTTTTACCACTCGCGATAATGACAATCAAGCCCTCGGGCTAAAATTAATGATAACTTACTGAAGTAAGCCGAGTTGATTTAATTATTTATTGTTATATGGACTCGGTGGCCGACCACATACGTTCCTTTGTCCATGGTTCGATGCTTCATTGCGCGAGCAACATCCATTTTGCCCAAGCGCTTAAGAAATCGCGAAAGAAGCACTTACCGAAGTAACAAGGTCGCCTTCTTGTTTGTAGCTGCACCAGTGGTCTCTGCCATGTGGTGTCTCTCCTGGCTCGTAGGTTCTGTTGAATCTCTCCAAGCAGTTGTCTTTTCCACGGCGAATCTCCCTGAGGAGCGGTGAGCATCTGATCAAGGCCTCTGCCAGCCTCCGGACGCTTCAGAGGTCACCCGAGACGATAATTCAGTAATAATTATAGATTAGATTATTAATTAGATAATTCTTATTATTCAGACGATAATAAGACGATTCAGTCTCAGCAAACCAATTGCGCAATGATACAATTCATCGCGCAAAGGTACTGCATGCTTTTGGGTTTTGTAGGGGCCGGTAAGGAGGGCTTACGTCATCTGACTATCTATAGAATCTTGCATTTACATACCAAATGAAATTTATACTCACTCACCACGCGCGACCTCATGCTAAGGCGTGGCGCATCTTTTCAGCCTCGGCCTCGTGAGTGGGGCACAGCGAAGGCCAGCACGGTCGTGCATCGTCACATGACAATACCTCTCTACGTCACAGACAATGCCTCTTTACGTCCACACCGAAAATACCTCTCCACGTCACATGACAATGCCTCTCTGTGTCACAAGGCAATATCTTTTACGTCACACAAACAATGCCTCCTGCGTCACATGACATCACACAACAATACTCTCTGCGTCACGCGGCAATGCCTCCCTCCGTCACCTGGCAATACCTCTGTGTGTGACATTACAGTCCACCTCTGTGTCCACGTTACAATATCTCTCTGCGTCACATGACAATACCTCTGTGTGTGACATTACAGTCCACCTCTGTGTCACGTTACAATATCTCTCTGCGTCGCATGACAATACCTCTGTGTGTGACATTACAGTCCACCTCTGTGTCACGTTACAATATCTCTCTGCGTCGCATGACAATACCTCTGTGTGTGACATTACAGTCCACCTCTGTGTCACGTTACAATATCTCTCTGCGTCACATGACAATACCTCTGTGTGTGACATTACAGTCCATCTCTGTGTCACGTTACAATATCTCTCTGCGTCACATGACAATACCTCTGTGTGTGACATTACAGTCCATCTCTGTGTCACGTTACAATATCTCTCTGCGTCGCATGGCAATACTCTGTGTTTGACATTACAGTCCACCTCTGTGTCACGTTACAATATCTCTCTGCGTCACATGACAATACCTCTGTGTGTGACATTACAGTCCATCTCTGTGTCACGTTACAATATCTCTCTGCGTCACATGACAATACCTCTGTGTGTGACATTACAGTCCCACCTCTGTGTCACGTTACAATAGCTCTCTGCGTCACATGACAATACCTCTGTGTGTGACATTACAGTCCACCTCTGTGTCACGTTACAATATCTCTCTGCGTCGCATGACAATACCTCTGTGTGTGACCATTACAGTTCACTCTGTGTCACGTTACAATATCTCTCTGCGTCACATGACAATACCTCTGTGTGTGACATTAACAGTCCACCTCTGTGTCACGTTACAATATATTCTCTGCGTCACATGACAATACCTCTGTGTGTGACATTACAGTCCACCTCTGTGTCACGTTACAATTATCTCTCCTGCGTCACATGACAATACCCTCTTGTGTGTGACATTACAGTCCACCTCTGTGTCACGTTACAATATCTCTCTGCGTCACATGACAATACCTCTGTGTGTGACATTACAGTCCACCTCTGTGTCACGCTACAATATATCTCTGCGTCACATGACAATACCTCTGTGTGTGACATTACAGTCCACCTCTGTGTCACGCTACAATATCTCTCTGCGTCGCATGGCAATACCTTTCCACGTCACATGTTAATGCCTCTCTGCGTCACATGACCATACCTCTCTGCGTCACATAACAATACCTCCCTCCGTCACGTGACAATACCTGTCTGCGCCTATGCGGGGGCTGACGAAGGCGAACAAGTTTCTGGCCCTGGAGTCGCCGATGAAGATGGCCTTGTACCGCTGCAGCGCGCGCTGGAACCGCCGCTCCAGGCACTCGTGCGTCCGGCTGGATCGAAACAGGTCCGTCAGGAGCACTCATGTGTTCTTTGTCTGACCGTGGCGTCTCTCGAAAAAACAGTGTTACTTGCTATTCGTAAGTCAAATTCGCTTGCGCACATGGCAATGGCAGCTCGAATCCGCGTGAAGTTGACTGTCCGTTCAGGCTATTTTGCGTCTCTTTTCATTCGTGTAGCGCAAATATGGTTTAATAACGCATGTGGCAGCCCACAGCGGACGTTACCATGTATCGCCCAAATGCGTAGTGCTGAACTACAAAACGTCGGAGGCATGCACTCCCCTCTCTGCTGGCCGAACTCAAAGGACGCTCTTGGACCTTTCATCGGGAAAATGCAATTTTACAAATTAACGTAACGCCGACTCACTCTTTGTCGAAATGCTGTATGACGCAGTAGGGCGCTCCCTGGTCGGGCTGGATGGCGGGTCCGTTGTCCCTCCATTTTACCCATGCTGATCCCTCTTCAAACACCGCACTGCAATTGTCGCCAAGCCTATTGGTCGCCGCCGACGTCTCGGCGGCGTTGCCATGGTGACGCGCGACCGCAAGCGTCGCTGTCAAAAAGGCCGCTAGCAGACACTTGGGCGACGAGTCTACGGCGGTCCGCAGGCCTTCGAGCATGGCTAAAGATGTCAGGTGACGTTAAGGGCTGGTGAGCTTGACAGAACTAGGCGCGAGGCGAGTCGTCATCGCCTGAAAACAACAGGGGAAAGAAATATGAGTGTCTCTTCAAACATCCTCTTATTTAACTTCAGACACTTGTTTTAAAGACGGGAGTGTCTGAAAGAAATAAGCAGCCCTGCTCATCCTGGACGCGTTGTCTCGCCTAAGAAAGATGAAATCACAGAGGGAAAGACAAAAATAGCGGTGCACCACACCATCAAGTCGGCAAGTATATTTACATGGAACTCTATCATGGCAAGTTAAGATAGCCTTGCACGCACGGCGCCATCAATGCTCTTTCTCGCCATCCGATCACATCACGTTATTTCAATCGTCTTATTTTAATGTATTCAGCTTGACCCCATTACATGCAACCATGGCATCCTACAACAAGTATCATATCAAGTATCATATCAAGCATCAGTCATTTGACTTCAGAAAACCATCTTCGCTGTGGACGTTTAGCGCAAGTACATATGTGTTCCGATATATCAGATGTATGGGATGTGTGTCAGATCAAACGTCACCTACATAGGATGTGTGTCATACCAAATGCATCAGGCACATTGGGATCTGCGTCAGACCAAATACATCAGCCACATAGGATGTGTGTCGGACCAAATACATCAGCTACATATAATTTGCATCAGACCAAATACATCAGCTACATCGGATGTGCGTCAGACTGAATAGATTTACGACATTTAATTCGCGTCAGACCAAATACGTCAGCTACATCGGATGCGCGTCAGAGCGAACCATCTGCACGATTTGATCCCCAGCCTAGCGTAGCCTTCGACAGGCCTCACCCCACCACAACCCCAACACACGATCGCCACTATCCACCCATCCAACTCACCGTGCTCCTACTGAAATCTTCGCGGTGATCCCGTCCGACGCTTCGTCGTGACGCCTCAGCGCAGCTGGCGCCGAGTTACTGGCGCAGCTGGCGCCGAGCTACTGGCGCAGCTGGCGCGCGCGGCGCGGGCCGAGGTGCCGCCGTGGCCGCCGTCCGCCTCTGCCCGGACCGTCGCAGCCGTGCACCTCTCGTTCGCTGACCGCCGCTGCAAGTTTTGCATGCGCAGAACGACGCGGCGGTCACCGACCCCACGCGGCGGTCCGCGGGACATGGTGACGTCACTGGGCCCGGGGGTAGCGGGGCGGAGCAAGTCCGTCTTCGTCTTCGTCTTTGTGCTTTGCATGCTGGTGGTAAGGGAGATGCCTAGAGAGTGATGCAGTTTCAGAGTCACATTGTTTACATAGTTTCAGTTTAAACAAAAGAGACACAGATAAGCTCATCGTTTACGGGGCATTGGATCGTCAGTGAACACATCCACAACGGAAGCGAGTTGTGAATAGAGTGTCAAGATGGCAGGCGCCATTGGAGATCGGGGTCGTGCTTTGCAGCCAAGGCTCATTGTCCTCGGTTGTATTCCAGTTCATAAACGACCAGCTCATCCGTTCCTCGGCCATTCGTCCGTAATGATCCTCGGGAATAACTTATTTGGAATGCGCCCGGCTGCTCTGGATTCGAACCGAAGCATTCCAATCCTTGTACAGCTTTCTCGCTGACAGAGGCGGTGCCAGGGACTTCAAGCTGGGGGGCAGAATTTTCAGGGGGCCTCTTAGATAAAATAGGGTGTTCCCACAGGGGGGGGGGGCGGGGGAGGCTGCTGGGTGGATTACCCTCAGGGGGATGGCAGCGCTCCCTTTCACATTGCTACATGCAGCGACATTCATGTCAATGACGTTGACAATAACAAGTCGGGAGCTGGGAGCTTCTGACTGATTTAGGGGTCGTCTCAATCAAGCAAGCGACCTACCTATCACAAAACAAGTCGCGGTGATCCCGAACTGCGGCGATATTTTGCATGAAAGGAGCCTCCTGAATATAGAGGGCTTCGCTCAATCCGGAACAGGGGCCTTCTGGGTTATAGCAAGGGCCATCTGAGCCAGCAAAGGGCCTGCTTAACACACAATGGGGCTTTCTGATATAGAGCATGGGCTACCCAATAACCACCCACAAAAGTGGTGCATGATCCAAAAAAGTGATCTTTTGATGCAAAAAAGGGTGTTCGGAGCCCGATTTAGGACCCTCAAGCCCAGCCTCAGTCAGCTCCCTTGATCTACACGCTGGTAATACAGGTGAGCTACAAAGCTTTGATTTCAGTCGAAAGGAGCATCCCAATTTTGAGGGGGTATAAATGCAGTCTGCCGTTCCCCCCCCCCCTACTCTCACCCCATCCTCCCCATTCAGTGCCACGGCAAACTCGAAATCTACGCCTAAAAATGCGATTAGTGGAAAGAAAAATGACACAAAACGAAAGCCATAATCAAGTCGCTGCCATGGAAACACCGGAACAGTTCTATCCCACCTCGCTTCGCCTTCTAGTTCCACTCCGAATGAGGAGCATCAGGAAAGTGCACAAGTCCATCAGTGAAGGTGGGCCTCGCAAGCCGACACCAGCGCCACCTGCCACGCCGGGGGAGCCCAGGCCGGCATGACCTGGCGGGCGGTGGGGGCGGCGGCGCAGGTGGCGCTGCTGGTTCGCTTCGACGGCAGTCTTGCTTCGGCTCTCGTGTGGGCACGAAGTAGTTCTTAGATACTAATGGCTGCCACGTTTTCAACGGAGGATGTGCGGAAATAAGGAACTGCAGACACCAGTGGTGGGGTGTTGTTTTAACGTCCCATACGGATATCCTGAACACTTAAAAACCTTGGACGAAATTTGTAATGTTCTGCATAGCAAATAACCACTGATGAATAACCACTAACCACAAGCTCGCTTGAGGTTCGAAGCGCCGGGGCTGTTCGTTTGTTAGCTGAAGTTGAATGAAATTGCATTGAGCAGTGTTTATAGTTTTGCGTGCTTCCTTCCACTAGTAGCCGTGGCGCGCATTGTATAACAATACTGGAATGATGACAGCCGGATGGTAGTCATCATTCACCACTTACTCCTGCATTTAAGAGGTCTGCGGAACCATGGCGCACTGGGAGAAATGTGCAAATGTTGTAACGGTCAGGTGCGACTGTCGCAACGGAAATGTTCAGCGGAGGTTTTGCCCCGATGATGGGACGTCTTGTTCCAGGTTCCACGCCTTCGTGGTGAGCAAGATATTAAGTTCTGTTGTAGTGGCGGGGTGAGACAGAGGAACACACGGGGCCATCTCCCTTCACGAGCATAGAAGGAACGCTGAGATGTAAGTCATACAGGAGAGGGCTTCAGAAGCATCAGGGCAGCAGAGGGAATGCATGGAATGATCGTCGCTTTCCGGTCACGGTAGGTATGAACCTGAGTTCCAAACCCTGTTGCCCGAAATTGGCCTGATCCTCTCGGGTGTTTGGTTCGCGTAGAATCCATTTCTCCACCTCTATGCCTTTAACACTGTCATCAGAGTCTCCTCCTACGCCTTTCATATCGTTCGCTCTGAAATCTTTCGATCTATTCAAACTTTTTTCTCTTTTTTTATGCGGCGCTCAGGCCGTACATTATCAGGACCTATTTCCTGAAAGTGCACAGTTCGGTTTTCAACCTACAGACATCACTGGGTGCGTTTCACCCCACTGCGTTTGTTGCGAGTTGGAAATGCCGGTGGACCGCGTGCTCGCATCCCTACTCTCGATTGTAGCTCGTGACATGCATCTAAACAATGACTGATTTATGACGCGACTTGCCGATTCTTTTTTCAATTATGGTTCTAATATGCCAGCGTACGACAGATCATGAGAAACATGAAGCTGATGCACCCAAAAAGTCGCTGGAAGCTCTGCTCCATAGGCTGAATGGCGTTTAAGGAAAAGCACTGCGTCGCTATGCAGATGGCAAAATTCATGAGGCGGAGATAATGATGCTTGACAGATGCGGCACAGTATTCGCTGCCGAGCTTCGAAAATATCTGAAAGACTTTTGTTACGGATTAAGTTCACATCTTTTGACTAAATGTATTTCTGGTATCAGAGCTCACACTAATCAGTGCTTGTTATGTGAGCCCTGAACAATACCATTTGATTGTGCAATTCCAGCTCAACGGCAGAATTCGGTGGCGAAGGCTTCACGTGCTGCGTTGCGCAGCACGGTCCGTCCTGCCCCCTGACCTCACTTGTCCTTTAGTGGAGCCGCCGTCACCGTCCGCAAGTTATAACTGTTGAGGGAATGTTCCACATTGAAATATATTAAATCAAGCACCAGATATGATGAAATAAGCTCACTTATAACTATTGGCATACCTTTGAGTGGGAAAGACTGCTCTAGACAACATAGTTCCTCTATTTAGTACATGTGCTTTTCAATACGTCATTGTTTGATTGTGTCATCGTGCCTTGCACAACTTAATTTAGAGCCAATTGACGGTCGTTTCATCTGGGAATCGTGCTGACGAACATCAGATATCAAGGTCTCGACAATTACATTTTTCTTGGCTTTTATCGTCGCATGGGCAATGCAATGGTTGGATTTGAATTAATTATTATGGCGCCATGAATGCCTGGGTGACCTCAAAATAGTCTCCTCCAAATTGTCTGCACATCTTCGCGAGCGTGTAGTTCCGAAACTAGAAAGGAAACTAGAGGGCAGGGAAAAAAACTAGGCCTTGAGAGGGGCAGGGTTGTGAACTGCACCGAACGATTTCCAAGATGGCTATTTCAGTTGAAAACCCGATACCAATGCGGAACACTCCCTTCATGGATCATTAACTTTCCCAAGAATATATATGTGTCTCCAAATGCTCCATTTATAAAGCGATACGAGCAAACCAACAATTATGAAATTATCACGCCATCATCGCCCAAAGCGTTGCTGAAAGCAGCACATTGGCCCAAGATGCCAGGTGTGAACTGAAGAAAAAAGCTGACGCTCAACTGCGCTCTGCCGATCACGTGCTGCCATCTGTCTAACCGGCAGCATGAGTTTTCATTTACCATGCGAGAAGTGCATGCAGTGTAACGGTCGCTAGCGCTG